CCCAAGAAAAAAGTAAGGAAAGAAAATTAAGGTCAATAGTGAAAAGACCAGGCACACAGTTGTTCCTCAGTGCCTTAGTCTGGTCTGGGTTCCCCAAAAACAGACCCTGAGGTGAGGATTTGGATGCAAGTCTTTATTTTGGAAATAATCCCAAGAAGCAGGGTGAGGGAGTGGGGAAGTGAGACACGAAGGGAGGAAAGAAAAGAAAGTACAGACGAGAGTAGATTTTTGGGTCACCAGGTAATATGGTGGTTAAAATGTTGGATCCCACGTGGCCAACTCCACAGTTCGAGTCCCAAACCTGATGTCTTGAAAAACAGATGGGGGGTGGGGGGGCGGTGGCAGCAGGTGGGGCGGCGGTGGCAGGCGGGGGTCTCTCTCTCTCTCTCTCTCTCTCCCCCTCTCTGGTCAAATTAAAATAAATAAATAAAGTTAAATAAAATAATTATTTTTTTAAATTTAACTTCGTTTATTTAATTGTTTTTATTTTGACCAGAGATGAAGAGAGAGCGAGAGAAAGAGAGAGAAGGAAAGTGAGAAAGCAAGTGACCATGCCTGGTACTTGAACTGCTGTTGGACATGTGGGAGTCCAGCGCACTTAACCACCATGTCATCTGCTGGCCCCATAAATAAAATAATTCTTAAAAAAAAAAAAAAAAAAGAAAGAAAGAAAGAAAAAGGAAAAGACAGGGTGTGTGTGCATGTGTTCCAAAATCCTGAGAAGAGAATGGAGGAAAAGTGATTGCAGTATGGCTGTCCTCCAGGGGGGGATTTCTCTCTCTCTGTCACTCTCTCTGTCTCTCTCCCCTCTCTCTCTGTCTCTTTCTGGCAAGTGCACACACCCTATGGCAAAAATCTCACGAAAAAAGAAAAGAAAAATAAGTTGGTTTTTATATGGAAAACACACAATTCTGTCGGAGTCCCTAACACTGGAACTTGCTTTGGAATTGGGGATGGGAATGTCCCATGGAGGTGACCAGAGAGCTGGGGTATTTATCCACTAACACTGGAGCCTCACTGTGAGGGTTGCTCTGCGGTGCCAACTCTCCAGCACTCCAGGTCTGCCCCAAAGTTCTGCAGCCCAGAGCGCTGTCAGCTGAGAGCAGGGACGTGTGGGCAGGCTTAGGAGCTGCCTGCAGGTGGCTTCTAGGTAGACCTGTTTTGAGTGGGGCAGACAGCACTAGCTACACTGATTAAAATGATCACAGTAGTGGGACCAGCAGATGGCGGAATGGTTACATCACTGGACTCTAGGGCCAACCGAGGTTCAAGTTCAAGACCCGCGGGGCATGTGCACGTGCGTGTATGACCAAGATCCCTAGAGGAGAATAGAGAAGGGACTGTGGTGTGGCCGTCCCCCAGGGGTGATTTCTCACCTCTGTCTCTCTACTGACCACTATAGAGAGAGATATAGTGGTGGGGCCAGCAGGTGCTGGACTCCCACATGGCCAACCACAGTGTGAATCCCAGACCCAGCGACTTGAAACTCACAGCCAGCCGTGCACATGTGTGCCCAAAATCCCAGGGGGAGAATGGAGAAGGGATTGCAGCATGACCATCCCTCCTGGCGGGAGGGGGCATGATTTCTCACTTTCCCTCTGCCTCTCTACAGTGAGTGTACACGCCCTATAGCAAAAACCTAAAAATAAATAATAAAATAATTGCAGTGGGACAGCCAGTGGCCTGGTGGCTAAGAGAGCTGGAGCCTATAAGGCTGAGCATGGCAGTTGGAGTCCCGGACCCAGCAGTCTGTGAAACCCCTTGGACACATATGCATGGCTGCCTGAAATCCCAGAAGGCGGGAGTAATGGAGAAAGAATTGTGATGTCAACTATGGGCGGGGTGCTTTCTTGCTTACCCTTTCTCTGCCTCTCTCCAGCAAAAGTATGTGACTTCTAACAAATTAAAAAATGAATAAATAGGGGCTGGCAGTTGGCAGGTGGTTAAGGATCCTGGACTTTCACAAGGCCAACTGCAGTTTGAGTCCCAGACCTGGTGGCTTGCTTTCTCACTTTCCTTCTCTCTCTCTCTCTCTCGCTCTGTCCCTCCCTGTTAAAATTAGATAAATACATAAAGGTAAATAAAAAAGAATAAATTAAATTATTGTGGAGAAGGGCCAAGTGGTGGCACAGCAGTAACACGGCTGGTGCCACGTGGTGAAGGTCCCAGGTTCGTGCCCTGGGACCTGTCTGAGCGTGCTGAAATGCGTGAGCACCCTATGATCCACACTGGCTGAGAAAGGGAGCGGATCTCTGCAAAGACCCTGTGGGGGGTACTATCTCTCTGTCTCTCTCTCATGGAAGTAGTAAATAAAAACAAAACAAAAAAATTTAAACAATTTATTGTGGTAGTCTGCTTCCATGGCACAGCATTCATGTACTGCTAAAAGAGAAGCTTGATCCAACTTGGTGACTGAAGTTCGAATCCCTGGCCCGGTCAGCCTGAAGCATGCAGGATCCAGTGGACTGGAGGAAAGGGACTGCATCATCACCCGACCCTGCAGAGACCGCTCCTCGCTCTCTCATGCACACACATGCTCTATCATGAATAAAGAAAAGAACTGGGGGCAGCAGGTGGCATAGTGGTTGTGGTGCTAGACTCCTACACAGGCAACTGGGGTTTGAGTCCTGGACCCAGCGGCTTCAAACTCACACTGTGTGTGTGCCCAAGATCCCGCGAGGAGGATGGAGAAGGAATTGAGGCATGGCCATCCCCATTTTGGGGGTGATTTCTTACTTTCTCTGTGTCTCTAAGGGGTGCACACACCCTACAGTAAAAATCTCTAAAAGAGCTGTGGTTGCGTGGTAAACCACAAGCTCACCTAGGCTCTTTTCTACCATCACCTGGCCCTCAGGGCTCTTTTCTTTCTTTCTTCTTGTAAGTTTGTTCGTTTGTTTGTTTATTTTAATTTTACCAGAGAGGGACAGAGTGATAGAGAGAAGAAGTGAGAAACCAAGCCGCCAGGTCCGAGACTTGAATCACAGTTGGCCATGTGGGAGTCCAGTGCCCTTAACCACCATGCCACCTGCCGGCCCCAGGGCTCTTTTCTACTGCCATCTTTGTCCCACTTTCCATTTGGGGCACCCCTCATCCTCCACCCCAGTCTGCCCTGCAGACCCTACCAACAAACTCAAGGCGTTTTTTTCCCTCCATATTCTTATCCCAGCGACTTCCTCCTCCTGTCAGTCCCCTGAAGCAAACCATGGGGTCACCTGCAATCACTGATTTCCCCGGCAGAGAGGCTGAGAGCTCTTCAGTGAACTCAGGGAGCCTGAGCCAGACCCTAGGGGGGGTGTAATTGTTCTGCCTCCTCCCCTCCCTCCCCCTGTCTATTGGATCACACCTTCAAGAGGGCAGTCTCCCTTCTAGTTCAGAGGTGCCCTAAGAAGGGCTGTGGCTGCCACAGTCAGCTTCTCACCTTCCCCAGACCTCCTAGCACATCCCTGCGTGGTAAACCCCCACCCTCACCCTGCTGCCTGCCTCCTCCAGGTCTGTGGCCAGGCTTTCAAGCTGCTGAAGGAGACCGTTGTGATCACACAAGGGCTAGACAGATGCTGAATCCTATATCCCCAGATATCCCATTATCCAGCCTGAAATGCTTCCATCACCCTTTTCTAGTAAGGCACATATTCATTCATTCATTCATTCATTTCATCATTCACTTAACACCCTGAAGAGAGTGTTAACAAGCCAATCATCATTGGGACCAGAAGGTGGCATAGTGGTTAAGGTGCTGGACACTCCCACATGGCAGATCACAGTTCGAGTCCTGGACCTGGTGGCTTGCTTTCTCATTTCCCCTCTTTCTCTTTCTCTCTATGTATCTCTCTCTGTCAAATTAAAAATAAATGAATGAATAAAAAAAAAGCCAATCATCATTAACAGGTATTAGGTGAAGGGGGTCAGGTAAAATCTGAGAGTTCCAGAAGGAAAGCGCCACAGGACAGGGGTTTCACAGAGGCCAGACCTCTCAGGACTGCAGGGCAGGTCTGCAGCAGGGCTAGGCCAGGAGCCCAGGCCTTCACCCAGAGGGCGGCTGAGAGTAAGGGTCAGCGTCTGCCAGAGCCGGGCAGCAGCTCCTCCACAGCTGCATGGGACAGACCAGCAGCCAGACGACAGCAATCTCAGCTCTAGTCTTGGGGTCAAAGCAAGGGCCTGTGGTGGCGAAAAGCCCCATCGGACTCCGGGTACCCTGGGCAGGCCTCAGAGTCCTCCTCCAAACAGACGCCCTCCAGCCTGCAGCTGCTCTCAACCCCGCCCCCTCTCCCAACCTGCCACGCAGAAAACTGGGTTCCTCCCCATCCACCCCGGGGGCGCACTCCCGCTGCTGCCTGGACTTCGCCTTCACTTCCCTTATAACCGGACTGTGCCCATTTTCAAACTGGGAGAAGGGAAGACGAATTAGGTCGTTTTAGCTCTTCATCTGTCCTCTTCCCTCCAGTCCCCTTCCCTGGGGCCACTCAGCCAGGACACCTGTCCCGGTCAAAACCTCACCCGCGACTGTACTTGCAACCCAAAGGCTGGTTCAGTCTCTGTCCTGCCCTGGCCCTCTCTGCCCCGTCCAGGGAGAAAGCTGCTCTGTAGAGGGCCCTGGGCTACCCCCAGTTCGGCTCGGGGCCTCAGTTTCCCCACTTGGGCCTCAGTTTCCACCTCTGCTAACTTGGATTCACGATACCTGCTCTCTAGACTTGGAGGATGCAGCTCAAAGGAGGTCATAGATGAGGAAGGGGCCGCAGCTCGGCGCAGGCTCCGTGCGGCGCCCCTCGGCCGGCTGCTCGGCTCCCCCTCCTCGCGCGCCCCTCCCTCTCCCTCCTGCTCCCCTGCTTTCCCCCTCTCCGCCTCTCCACCGCCTCCCCGTTCGCTCGGCTCCCTCTTTTGCTGGGCTCCCCTTTCCCTCACGCCTCCCCGCGCTCGGTCCCAGGTCCCCAGGGTCCCAGGGTCCGCAGCGCGGGCGGTCAGTGCGCAGCCCCGGAGCCCGAGCCCGAGCCCGAGCCCGGAGCCGGATCGCGGGCTCCGACCGAATCCGCCCGCCCGCCGCCCCGACCAGGTGAGGCCAGCTCGGGGGATCCAAGGCTTCCCCTTGATAGGAAGGGGGCGGTGAAGGCGCGGGGAACTGGGTCCCTTTTCCTTGAAAGGGGAACCTGGGAGCTTGCTCTGGAAGGAGGCTCCAGGGCTTTCACCCCGCAGGGATGGATGGAGGGGAGGTCTGGGGGAGAGAGGTTCCGGGTACCCCTTTCTGGGGGATTTTTTCTTTCATTCTTTTCTTTCAGGAGAAAGGATTCATCGACTTCTTTTGTGAAAGTGGGACTTACCTTACTGGGAGGATGGGGGGCTTTCAAGGTAGGTGGGGAGGAGGCTCCGGAGGGGGCGGGCTGGAGGGAAGGGTTAACTGGGGAGTGGGGGCTCTGCTGGAGCGGGGGCTCTGGTATCCCCAAGCCTCACACTGCTGCACCCCCACTGATCCCGGAGCTCTGGGTCGGCCCAGCTTTGTGTCTGTCCCATTTTCTCTCTTTGAAGAGGACCATTTGGAGCCCCACCTGGACAGAGCCAGGAACAGCCATTTCCTTCCCTGGAGCTGTGACGCCCACCCTGCACCCTCCCACCTCCAGCTGCTCGGGGAGGGATGCGGACCGGCGTCTGGGCCATGGGCAGTGGTGGGTGAAATGGAGCCCGAGTCCTGGGCACACAGGAAGACCCTGGCATTGGTGGGGTGCCCGGCCTCAGCAGTGGGAGTGCTGGGTGTGTGGGGGGCAGGTGCTCCTGGGGCAGGTGCTGGCAGGCAGCAGGCTCAAGGGACAGCTGAGCGGTCCCACGCCCCAGAAGACAAAGCAACAGCCCCCCCCCCCACGTTGTTTTTCATTGGTTTTGCTTGCTTTCTCCTTCCCCTGGACCCCAGCACTTCCTCTTCTTGTCTCCTCTTTTAGAGTTGCATAAAGGGAAACTGAGGCAGGGAACAGGTTGGCTGCAGATACCTGTGTCTAGGAGGCAAGGGTGGTGGAGGGAGGGCACACTGAATTCGGAGTAAAACGCCTCAGTTCAAGGCTTGCCTCAGTGCTCCCTGGGTTACTTTGGGTCAAATTGCACGCCTCTTTTAAAGAATTCTTCTATTTTAATTTTATGTATTTTTAAAAAAATAATTGTTTTATTTAACTTTATTTATTTTAATTTGATCAAAGAGGGAGTGAGAGGGAAAATGAGAAAGCAAGCCGCCAGGTCTGGGACTCTTAACCATGGTCAGCCATGTGGGAGTCCAACACCCTTAACCGCCACAACACCTGCCGGCCCCATATTACTATGTGTTTAATCCGACGAGAGAGAGAGAGAGAGAGAGAGAGAGAGAGAGAGAGAGCGAGCTGCTGGGTCTAGGACTCTAACCACACCACCTGCTGGCCTCACTACCTCCCTTCCTTGGGCCTCTCTGTTGGGCCAGGTGTGTCCAAAAGAGCTTTACAAACGAGAGTGCAGTGAACACGTCTGAGGTGCACTCTTCACCTTCCCTCCCCCTGCCCTGACCCAGGGCACCTCTGTGAGAATGAAGACTCCCCCTCCTCTGGAAGGAGACCATTCTGCTGGGCTAGTGACTTGGGTTCTGCATTATGAGACTTAGAAGACATGCACGGCATGCTTTGCCCAGGTCCCTGCCCCCCAACCGCTGGGCAAGTGGAATGTGGGCTGGATTCCAGCTCCCACCCACCCTCAGGGGAACATCCCTGTGCAGGATGCCTCTGGCTTCTGCACCTGTACCACTGTGCTTGGCAGCCTTTCTCAGCAGGCTCCTGGAGGGGTCGCCAAGAGGCAAGAGGCACAAAGCTGCACACACTCCCAGGGTACTTTCTAGAGAAGCCCACATCCCAGGCTGTCCCAGCTTCTTTCCTTCCTTTGTTGTCTTCACTTCAGGGCACCTGGCTATTCAGACACCAAGGCCTATGCCCTGCTAGGAAGCACGATGGAGTCCCACCATCATCCCACCTCTGGGCTGGGCAGCAGCTTCACCAAGTTTGCAGCAGGCATCACAGGTCCTAAGCCCTTAGGTCAAGATCATAGCACTCAGGACCAGCAGATGGCCTAGCAGTTACGTCACTGGACTCCCACGAGGCTGAACCGTGGTTCGAGTCCTGGACCTGGCAGCTTGAAACTCATGCTAGATGTGTGCGCATTCATGCCCAAGATCCCGGGAAGAGAATGGAGGCGAAGGGATTGTGGCATGGCCATCCCTCTTGGGGGTGATTTCTCACTTTCCCTCTCTTTATCTCTCCGGCAAGTGCACGTGCCCCGCTTTCCCCCGCGTTGTGTCTCCCCCTTTCCCTGGCAAGTACACATACCTTAAGGCAAAAAACTCTTTTTTTTTTTTTTTGGAGAGGTTTTTGCTATAGGGTGCATGTGCTTGCCAGAGAGACAAAAAGCGAGAAATCACCCCCCAGGGGGATAGCCTCCCTGCAATCTCATCTCCTCCATGGATCTTGGGCACACACACACACACACACACACGCCCGGCATGAGTTTAAGCCACCAGGTCCGGGACTCGAACCGTGGTCGACCACATGGGAGTCCAGCAACATAGCTATTATACCAACTGCTGGTCCCAGAGCAAAAAACTCTTTAAAAAAAAAAGTATGCTCTCCTCAGGGCTAGGAACAGAAGCCTCTGCACCCAGGCAGCACTACCATTGACCAACCATGTCCACACCTGCTCCCTCGGGGCATCCTTCAGCAAGCTTGGGAGGCAGGTCCTTCCCACAGACATGGAATCTAAGTTTTCACAGCGTGCATGTAAATGGGAGAGCCAGGACCCGAGTCCAGTGCAGCTGCACGCCTTCTCCACTCCACCACTCCAGAGGAACCAAACGGCCAACTTCATATTCTTGCCAAAGCCCTGCTGCAACTGTTCCTCTCCCTCTGTCCCCAGCAGCCCCTGGCTTGCTCCCTCCCCTCCCTCGGGGACCAGCCCCCCAAGCAGAGATTTCATAAGGAAGGGAGCCCAACTGTTCTCACAGGCCAACTCCGCTGGCCTCATCTGTGTAGGAAGGACCCCAGGAATGCAGGGACCCAGTGTGCCAGCTGGCCCTGAAGTGGGTCAGAGCCCAGGAAAAGGGTCCTGGGGAGCAGTTATTTCCCTCCCTGCCCAAATGGGGGCTTAAAGAGTAACCCCGATGGAGAAGAGCATCACAGAGAGCTTGTGCCTGCCTGGGGATGGGCGGAGGGTCTTGGCATAGCCCCAGGTGAATGCAGCTAGCTGGAGGCTCAGAGTCACTCCCACACCCCGTTACCACGGCCCCTGGGTGCAGAGGGGGAAGGGAAAAGGTCAGTTCAGCAAGTAGGGCTCCTTCAACCTCATTGTTTCTTTCTACTTGTCCGTGGTACATGTGTGCATATTTTCAATGGACAAAGGGTTTACAGTGTTTACAAAAAAAAAAAAAAGGCTGGCCCATCACTAGCCTAATCCAGCGGTACTCTAACATGGTCCCTAGACCAGCAGCGGTGTCACTTGGGAACTTGTTAGAAATGTGATCTCTTGGGACCAGCAGATGGTGTAATGGTTACATGGCTGGACTCCCACGTAGTTGACCACAGTTCAAGGCCTGGGCCTGGCAGCTTAATACTCACATCAGGCACATGTGTATGTGTGCCCAAAATCCCTGGAGAAGGGATCGCCCTGTGGCCATCCCCTCAGGGAGTGATTTATCGCTTTCTCTCTCTGACAAGCAGGCTATAGCAAAAAATCTCTTTTTTAAAAAAGTAATCTCTCAGTGGCCAGGAGGTGGCAAAGTGGTTAAGGTGGTGGACCCCACATGGCTGTGTGGTTGAGTCTGGGCTGGTGGTGTGTCCAAAATCCCAAGAGGGGAGTGAGGAAGAAGGGACTGTGGTGTGCCAGCCTTCCTAGGCTGTGATTCCTCACTTTCCCTCTCTGTCTCTGACTCTTACTCTGGTACATACCCTATACCAAACTGAAAAAAAGAAGAAGTAAATTCTCGGGCCCCATGCCATACCTACTGAAAAAAACCTGGGTAGAGCTCAACTCTGTTTTAATAAGCCCTCCAGGTGACACCAAGGCTCGCTAATGACAGAAGGAAGGCGTGGCCTGCCTGCACCTGGGCCTAGGAAACCGAGACCTAAGAGTGGGTCACCGGAATGGCAGGGGCGAGAACCGGTGTCTCCCAGTCCCGGGGGGCTGGACATTTGGAGGTCGCCCCAACTCTTCTCCTTCCTCGGTCTCCGCCCCTAGGTGCCATGCTGCTGCTCCTGCTGAGCCTGCTGGGCCCCGCGGCCTGCTGGGCGCTTGGCCCGGCCCCGGGCTCGGGGTCTTCGGAGCTGCGCTCTGCCTTCTCGGCGGCACGCACCACCCCGCTGGAGGGCACGTCAGAGATGGCGGTGACCTTCGACAAGGTATACGTGAACATCGGAGGCGACTTCGACGCGGCCACGGGCCAGTTTCGCTGCCGCGTGCCGGGCGCCTACTTCTTCTCCTTCACGGCCGGCAAGGCCCCGCATAAGAGCCTGTCGGTGATGCTGGTGCGCAACCGCGACGAGGTGCAGGCGCTGGCCTTCGACGAGCAGCGGC